TAAACCCGTGGCCCGCAGACAGTAAGGTCACTTACAAACCCTGGAGACTCAAACGCTCCTGGTGAAAATAATCCATTACCATGGACTAGGGCTTCAAGCCCTCAACTTCACAGGCCCTAGACACGCAGGCATTGCTTTGTAAACATGGCGATAGTATTAACAAGTCAGCCGCACGAGCCGGGTTAATATTGTCAAACAATGAGATACGAGTCTGGAGACAGGATCTAAGGTTATAGAATGCAATTACGGTCATATCGACCTCGCATTCTGGTTATATTTCAAGAGGCAAGGTATGAACGAGATGGGACAAGCATTATAAAATAGACAAAGGTCTACTGGCTCTTCTTGTTTTACGTCAAAGTGAGATAATGAAATTGGTATTTAGTGACGTAAATCTTCTTGGAGAATGCAATTGTGAGATACCTATTTTTGCAGTGACGCCTATTGCATTCATTTCCATTTGGTTCGGAAAAGATTGCGAGGATCAATCATTTCATCGTCCACAGCACACTCTGTACATGTTAAGCATCGTGTAGTAATGTATGTATGTATGACCGTCTATTCAGTTAAATTAAGACATTTTATCAGACACGTACTGTAGGTGGCAGAGACACCACAGAAGTAAAAAATATACCAAAAAAACAAGTGCACCACCTACAAGCCGACAATATTCCCAAACAACCCTCCACTTTTTCTACATGGTTTTGGCATTTTGCACGTTTATTTTAATGTTCAAGCAATCGTAGGTAAAATGTTTAACTCGCAAAAGCTAATTATAAGCAAAACACAACACAATTGTCAATAACACTGGGGACTTAAAGGAGAAAAAAATATATGATAGATGACGTTTCCGGCAGTAGCTTTTCTTCAAAGCACACAGATGAAGGGCCCTTTGCTAAAATCTAACTTTAATTGTTAATTATCCGTGTAGATTTCTTCAGCTAAATGTTACCAAACACTGAAGCACTCCTCATTGGTAAAGAGTCCACTCTCAGTAAAGACTCCAGATTGAGCATCCACCTTTTAAACTCTAACCAACATCACACTGGATAAGAGTGTGTGCAAAACCTTGGAGCTGTCACGGATCCTGAGCGATCATTTCTCCATAAATAGCTCAACTACGTGGGAAGAGAATCACGAAGTTGTAAGGTAATGACAGCACCATATAATGATTTAGTTGCTGCTGAGACCCAAGTCTATGCCTTCATGACAACCCGGCTCAACTATTCGTAGCACTACGACCTTCCCAGATCCCTCATTCTCCCATCTGCAGATGCTCCAAAAATTATGGCTGCTGGACTCATCACCCAAATTCCCCGATCCATCCACTAAGCCCAAAATAATCTCTGATCAATTGCAAGGTCGCACTCATCGTCTTAAAGAACCTCCGTTGATTGCTTCCTGCTCACCTCTCCCCTCTCACTTCACTCTCCTCCACACACTCTCTGTCAAATACCCCAGTAAAACCTTCGCTTAAACGGGAGGCTGCTCATACTCCTCTGCCGTCCCCGTCGTCTTGAACTTCATTTCCCCCAGACATTCGTGTCATCAACTCCCTTGCCCCTGTTCTAGTCCAGACACAAAAAAATACCATTACTTTTTCCTCTGCTTACGACGGACAAAAAACGTCTCTCTGCAAAATGAACATGCCCACTCTCTGTGTGTACGACCACTTGAGATGCATTCGCATTTAGACCCGATATAAATCCAAATTGTATTGTATTCCCACGTGGGGGGGGGGGGGGGGCGTGTTCCAGTGTTCACATAGGACAGCCAATATTGACTTCCCACAAAGCAAATATGCATTGGGCTAGTAGTCGTGATTCATCGCAGATTAATAGGCAACCCAAATATGAGCTCAATTCCACAAAGTCAATGTGTTGTCCGTTAATATCATCCGCACGTTTACTTTCATTGGATGACACATTGACCGCCGTGTATCTGGGGACCACCATCTGGTCCCATCCAGACTTGGGGGAAGGAGGGGGAGCCAAGCCGGACTGGGACAGAGAAGAGAGACCGGAATAGCCACCCACCTGTGTGACAAGGGGGGCCCAGGCAATGCTTGAGGTATGAACTGCCAGGGTCGAGAGGCCAAAGACTCAAGAGAGAGAGAGAGCGCGCAAAAGTGGTGTGCGCAGAGCCACGGTTGCAATCAGCTCAATATCCATCGCATCCAATCTCTCACGTGAGCACAGCCCCCGCAGGACTCTGCAAGATCCGCAGCTCGAGGGGAGCATCGTCAACAGCGGCCCAACAGCGGCGTTCAAATAGACGCTGAACACCAGTAGCGCTTGGTCGCATTTCTATGCGAGCGTAGGTTTCGCATATTTTTGCACACACACCAAAAAATCGTATGCTTAGACCCATCATTAATAAGAGCAGGCGTGAGTGTTTGACGATAATGCACTGTTTTGTTAACGCGTTGATAGACGTTAGCGCGTTGTTTTTTTGTTAGGAAGTTGTTAGCATATTCACAGTGCAGTTGTTTGTTATCGCGTGTTTGTGTTATTTGTAAGGATGTTATGTCGTTAGCGTGCCGTGTGTTAGCGTGTTGTTAGTTTGTTTGTGTGTCAGTGTGTTGCTTGTTGAGTTGGGGTTAGAGAAGTGGTTAGCAAGCTGCGCTACGAACCCGGCCACTGTTCCCATGTTTGTTTTAGTTATGTTTTGTAGTGCCCTATAACCCAAAACAAGAAAGTGTGTTATACCAGAGGACGCCTTTCTGGTCTAACACCGTTTGAGACTAGGCTCGAAAGAAAGCTGTCTCTGGTGTGGACCAATCAGCTGAAAGACAATGCATATATTATCAGAGTATGTTTTTTTTTTGCATTCTGACCACAAGTATGGTGGTTAATGCAGACATGATTCCTTGTAAAAGGTTTCAGTTTGGTGTTTTAACCTCTCAACACCTGTTTTGTTGCCAGAAAAAAGGGGAAACCCTATTCTCAAGAAAGTGTGATCTTGGGTAATCTGTTGATTATTCAATTTCACATGGACCCACAAGCACGAGGAAGGGAGTGGTTCCACCATGGTGTATCGTTCGCTGCAGCCACCAACAGCCACTCACGATGCTGAGAGGGGCATTGAGGCCCCCATTCTGCGCTGCCCGCTAATGAGCTCGTATTTAGCATTCCATGCACACACGTGTAGGGAATTAGTCAATCCCAGTGTTTTATTTCATAGCGCCCCAGATAGAGGATGGGGGGGGGGGGGTTACATTGCCCTTTTCGAGATGAAATCCCTGTGGGCATAAGCAGGCACCTTTTCCCCAACGAAAGAAACTGATGCCAATTAGTGCTCCCTGCGAGAACAATGAAGGACAGACTGGGCGAGAGCCTCCGAAAGGTCACTCGACGGACACACACGCACGCGCGCACGTGCATGAACATTGCACGTGGAGTTATTGGAGAGGGCTTGATACGTCACCTCTGGTGCACGATCAGAAGTCGTAAGTGGCAATGAAAGACATTGTTGCTGAAAAGCCTAGCAGGGACGCGTGCCCTGCCGGGGTTCCGCAAATGAGATGGTGACCCCCACTGATGCAATACACGTAAGCATCCTCAACCTTCACCCGGAGTCATTGTGAACCCCTGTGATAACCTACACTCTACAGGATTTTCAGATTGCTCAAACTCCTTTCACAAGCTGGCCACTTTAGCGTTAGCATTTACAGGTCGGCGTGCGCGGTTCAGACCCATTTCAAATCAAACGACTCGCGCAGAGATTGCGATAGCACTTACGGTTGAATGGTCGTGTTTGGTAGAAGTAGCTGACTTTGTGGAGATGAAATGAGTAAATCATAGAGTTTGCTCAGCGATGGGCAAGGAATTAGTACTGGGTGGAGGGATGCAGAGTGGAAGAAGGTGTGCGTTCAGACGGCTGGGCACTAACACTGGTCGTTAAATTAATGAACTACAGAAGGCAGAGGCAGCTTTAAACCCAAAAAAAATATTATAATTTGCAAGGGGAGCTGTAAAAATGATTTTAAAAAATTATTAGGGGTTAACTTTTCTGGTCGCACCTCTTACATTATTACGTGTAACACGAATGGAGTCTGACCTGGACACAGATCTGATATCGTGTCGAGGCCCTGTTGCTCTTTTAGTTTGCTGTGGCCAGAAACGGAGAGGGAAATTTTGGGGGCAATGATGTGGGGTGTGAATTTTAAGGATGATCGTTGGTGTCGTGTCGTGAATTGTTTTGAAATTACGTCAGAGGGTTGTTGCTGGATAATATTGTGTGTAATAAAAAAAAGATCAGATTTTTCCATCATGCATGATGATGACTACAATCGGGGCTTCACTCACGGCAATTCCCCCAGCTGCCTTGCCAGTCTAATAGATGCGAGTCCAAATGTTGCACAGAATTACATAAACTGTGCAACAACAACAACCGCCGCCATTCGCCACTAAGTGGCGGTGACGTCACCACGACGCTTGTGCCAGGCCATGTGCACCTTGAGACCACGTAAAGTGTCGCTGGCAGGAGGTCACGGGGCAGACCCAGATGCCACAGGTCGACTGACTGAGATGACTGGCTGATGCACCACCTTTGCCCCCTACTGTGCCAACTTGCTGTGCCAACTTGCTGTGCTTTAGCCACCCGGTGCTCTGTTGTGAGCATGCATGCATACACACACACAAAGAGCCCCCGCATAGCCTTAACAGACTGTTGGAGCAAGTGCTGTTCGCGAGCACCTATGAAGGCCAGCACGGCACACGAGGTAGTGGTTGGCCAGCACCACACCCAACCGCCTTTGTCTCTCTAGTGGCGATGCTTACACACCATACCGGGTACTCATTTGAGGCTGAGTCGACCTGGGGGAGGCCCACGATCGATTAAAATAATCGTCACTGGTGTTGGCCATGAGCGGGAATCGAACTCGGGTCGTCGGGTTCGTAGAGCAGCGTGCTAACCGCAGCACCACCGCTCCCCATCGTGTACGTGTGTATTAATACATAATACATACATACAACTATACAGACACACATACAAACACATTTATTACCAAGTTTATTTTTTGTGTTCCTTTTCTGTTTCAGGTCACTGCAACATCACACGCATCGACAATTCAGTTCCAGATAATTGCAAGATACATGTAAGGTCCCTAGAATCGTTACCCTCCCCACGTTCTCCGCTGTTCTTTGTCACAGTAATCCATTGTAGCGTTTGCATAGGAGCAAGGCGGCTGGAAATGACCAGGTTAAACTCCACATGGATTAAGAAGCGACATCAATTCTTCACCACGGCCTTCCGACAGATTCGTTTTAAAATTTCCTTTTAGCAATGAAACATGAACTGTGAACCAGCTGTAAACTACAGTGGTAGTTCTCATGGCTTCTGGACCCCCCATCTCTCCTCTTCCAGTAGGGGCCACTGATGTTCAAATGAGTGGCGGCTACCTCTCAGGTACGACAACCAGGCGTGTCACACAGTGCTCGAGCATAGCTTCCGGGAAGTCCCGTGGCCTCGGGTTTTCTCAAAGCTAAACGCAGAGACTACTGGTATCACTCTGCCTGTGAAGTTTAACGGTGCAAGTGTCCTCGTCATGAAATTAGCCCAGTGGAAACGGGCAATGTGGCCCTGTGTTATTCAATGCCACTTTCCAACTTAAGTTTCATTTCATTTATCCTGACAACTCCATTCTATATGAATGGAGGAGTCAAGATGAATACAAAAAATATTGAATAGATTTAGATGATGGGGCCTGAAGTCGATACTATTTGTGCAATGCGACTGAGTTTTAGACCAATAGATGATTAGAGAACAAAAACTCACGACACTCATCATTACCACTGCCTTACAATTAATTGTTATTTGACAGGGCTAATGTTGATCATGGTGAGATTTTTTCAACCTGGGCGTTTTCAGAACTGCCAATGGACTGCCTTAATGTCTTATTTTATTTTGCAACACATCAGACTACCACGTTGTAAGCGCATTCGGCTTTCAATACCCCCACGGTGCCGCTGCGGTGTCGCGTTATTCGCTGCGCATTCGTAAATTGTAAAATGTTGTAGCCGAACGCATATTTCACATGCTCGCGTAATGTCGCGACCTTCTCTGTGACCCATGCACACACTTTGCCACATTTATCGCCGACCGTGTGAACAACACGACACCAAAACGCGGAGGCAGTGGCGGCAGCAGAACGGTAATGGGTGGGGGTGGTGGCGGCAGTAGACCAGTGTTCTGGATTTTGATGTAACATCTCGCGGTGCGAAATACACACTCCCAAAGCTTGTCCTGAACACTTGGCTTTGAGAAGTGAAAAAGTTCGACTATGTGTCTCAACCAGAAAAATGAGACAACCTCCCACCACTGTGCCCCCCGCCCCCTTCCCCAACTCAGTAAATACATCGAATGAAAAGTGGAATATTACGTGAGGATTTGGGGATGTCCGGAGTAGGCCAGAGGGCTCTGTGGTCATCACACCAGCACACACCAGCCTTTATATTCAGGGCTTAGAATTCAACATTAGGCCACTCATCAAAGACTACGAGAACACTGTCAAACAAACGTGCCATTTGCTATCTTGTGCAGATGTGAAAAGTCACATATAATCTCATGGTCCAAATGTGGAGAGTTATCCACAATAACTGAGTTGCCCTTTGCTAAATCTTTGCTGGATATAAAAGCTTCTGTGCCTGTGCTGAACCGTGAGCAGAACGAGTCAGTTCTGTACCAGACTGCTGCAAGGCAACATTTGTAATATAATTACCGTGTGTGTGTATACATTTATATTTAAATGTGGAACGGTTCCAGATTCTGTATGAAATGCAATTACCAAGTCCATATTAAAAAAAAATCTTTAAATTGCCAGTACAGTGATATTACATGATTTAAAATACAAAGTGATAGGCAAAATGTCATGCCCTATCACGTGTACGTTTAAAAATACCAGTTATGTTTAGATGAGAGCGGTGGTAAGAATTGCTTGATATTTCTAAATGAATGGAAGGAGAGAATGCAGGATTTGATGGGGGGGAGGAGGGGGAGGGGTAAAGACCGGTTTTGTATTTTTTAATGGCTTTTTTAAAGACATCCTTTATGGATGGGTCAAAATGTGACCTCATCATCGAATAGGTCACTCACTGCCTTGCGCTGGCAAATGTATACGCTTCTCAATGCATGTGCTAGATATAGCCTTATCGGCGCATCGTGCATCAGAGCATCATGCTCCGGAGCATCATACGTCGCTGAATTGTAACATCACAGAAAACACATCAGAGTGCAAACATCCAAAGCTTCGTACATAAATGGTTCTCGCAGGGACAGCGTACAGGGTGTTGTTGTTGTTGTTGTTCTTCAAGTGCTGGGAACCTGTGAAAGGGCATATACAATTCACTTGGTTGTTTTTATTATTATTAAGTTTACCTCTGCATGACCGACCTATTGACAGACGGAAAATTTGCACACACCCATCGTACCTTTTGTCTGGTGGCGAATAGCTCCAAACGATCACACTTTTATCAAGCAGCTTCTCTAAAGGGCATTCCTCCTTTGTGTAAAAAAAAAAGTCGTAACTTTTTAAAATTATTTTATTGCACAGGCAACTGTGTGCAACATCTATAGGGCAAGTTCTATTTTCGTAAGCAAAATGGCGTATTTTATTTAATGAGTTGCTAATTGTCAGAATTGTATTGATATTGATGTATTTAATGTGATCATATGAAGTTGGCATTGATGTTTTATTTATAAATTGATTACGATTATATTCGCAAAGCTAAGCCACTGACGCATTTATAATTAGTCATTGGTTGTACTTATGACATTCATACTGGTTTTAGCAGTTATTAAATTACTGTTTTTATATGTTAAAGCTATTAATATCACATTTATAAAGCCATTACAAAGCTTCAACACGACTATGCTCACAAGCAGTGTTACATTACTGGAGTTAATTTGCCCATTTAATACCTTTGGTGTAAAGAAAAGACGCCTCCATGAATGGAATCATGCTAAACGATGACATTGCAAGTCAGATTATTTGCTCTTTGACAACTTCTAGAATCATAATCGCCAATCATTCTCCCTGCACTAGGGAATAAAAACCAATCCCATAGTAGTTCAGTGTTAAGTTTTACAATTGTAAGACATTCTAATTATCACCGTTATTTAATATCCTATTTTTAAATTACGACCGTTATACGGAATCACAGTACGTAGTATTGATTTATTAAATACACTACATATATATCTAAAAAAATATGTATATTAAGTGAATGTTTCACCAAAATGGGTCTCATCATGTTGTGAGACTACTGCCGTGAGAATGTGGAATTATCCACTGCTTTTTTTTTCGATTTTAAGCTTTCGTGACTGCATGGATTCATCTTCTTGGTTCTTTCGGTAAATTCACGTAGAAGGGAAATAATAAAATAAAATAAAAAAAATTTATGTTTTAATTTTATAATGATTTTTTTTTATTTCCCTTCCACGTATCCACTGCTTGTTCGAAGCCACGAAGCGAGCTGAGGGCTACTCAGGAGCTCAATCACGCAGCAGGGAGACACTTTGACTCCACGACTGTAATTTTCCCCAAATGTGATGGGCAAGTGGGGCGCGCCTTGTGAGCGATGTGGGGATCCACGGCCCAGCCCTCGCTGCTTGTGCAATCAACTTGTGCGGTACATTTCCGATGAATGAAACCATTCGGGCCTTGACCGAAACTACTTCCAGTTTAAAGATGAAATTTTTCACCTTCAACGACTTTCTGTTTTTTTGTATTCCCCGTTTACTTAACTATTATTTTCCAATTACCTAGCCATCCTGCCTTAACTTTCGCTTTTAACTCCGTGTTGGCAACACCGACTCTGTTGGCGGCTGCGATTCACCTCGCTCGCGCGTCTCATTGCTTTGTTGTGACCTTTGCTCGGCCCCCGGTGACCGTGAGCTCTTCCCATGGCTGCAATTTCATCACCAGTGGGGGGGGGGGCGGTTTGTGTCGATTGCTTTTTTTTGGTTCCTTGAGACGTTGTTCGCGTGTCGCGTCCAAGCTTGGCGGCTGGCGCGATCACACAAAACGCCGGAATAACCCCCCCCCCCCCGAGGTTGCTGCTGCAGAGATGCGAGAGGGCTCCCGCTGCGACACGAAACAAACAAAAATTCTGGAAAAAATAAATGAAAAAAATATGGGGAAAAAATTCTGAAAAAAACGCCTCGCTCCGTGAAAAAAAATCGCAAAAAGAAAAGCTCCTGAAAAAAATGAGGTTTTTTTGCTCTTTCAGTGGCCTTTCGCTCGACATAAATAGTGCGGGACAGGCGAAACGGTTTAAGTTTGCCCAGCCGGTCCTGGACATTGCACTTGAGAGAGAGGAAATACCCCCCCCACACACACACGCGCACACAAACTTGTCATCGGTGGCCGCAGATCAAAAGGTAGCGCTGAGTGAGGGCCCAGGCGAGACGGGAGAGGGCGATTTCGGCCCATTAGCAGACAAGCTGTCGCCCGGGAGGCAGCTAAAATGTTTGATGGACGGATGGCCACAGAAACCGATGATGGCCTCGTGACACCACGAGTCACGGTGGGATTCACGGCGTCCACGTGGCAAAGTCACGGGCAGCCTTCAAGGCGGCCCTCGCTGCCGATTTGGTGGACGGAATTATCCTTGAAGTCTCGTGGCGCTCTTCGTGTTGACTTCTGTTTAATCCTGCGCTCAGATTTGCATAAACGCACGAACACCGTCGCTCTTTCATCGGCAATACGTTGACTTCACCACAACAGGGACTTACAGATGTAAATTCTCACTCAAGTGAAACATCAAATGAGAGGACGCGGCTTGGGCTGACAGCCGTTTGCTAAAACGGTATTGGAAAGTGCCTCCTCCCTCTCTCAAAAGATCACATGTAGATACATTTATAAGTGTGTACGCGTAACAGTAGTAGTGTATATACAGTAGTAGTGCATCTATATATGTAAAGTACTCAAAAATGCTCATACAGTGTAGTTCATGTACAGTATTTGGTCTAAACACGTGCCTGACGGGAAGGAGAAAAACATGAAATCTTTCTCGCGTCGTGAATGCGGTCATTTCTTGAAATGCGGTTTTGTGAAAGTGCTGTTGGCGAGCAGCACCTACGAAGGCTGGCACTGTGGCACACGAGGGGTGGGTGGCCAACACACACCGCCCGTCCGCCTTTGTCTCCCCGGTGGCGATGTTTACTACACACCGCACCATGTACTCATTTGAGGCTGAGTCGACCTAGGCGAGGCCCGGTTTAGATAATCGTCACTGGTGTTGGCCAGGTCGTCAGGTTCGTAGCCCAGCGTAGCGCTAACCGCTACGGCAAAAATGCCCCGTGAACCCCATCACCACCAACAACAACCACCACCACACCCCTGTCACCGCCACTCTAAGCCCAGCAGGCTTGTGGACATTGCTTTGTTCCATTTCAACCCCCCTGCTTAGCACACTCGGGAGAAAGCTTTCCGGGAAGCGCCTGGTCCCATCGCCTTACAAGTGAGGGCGGTGGTCGTCTCGTGCCTCCATCCCGGATAAGCGGGTGGCTTTGAAATTGGTGGCAATGAGATTCCAACTGCGGTAAGGTAAAGACAGAGGTGCAGCCCTGCGTGCCACTGCTGACAACCTTTCGAGTGGGTGATTTGGCCTATTCTTCCAGACCTCTAGGAAGAAGTTGGAGTAGCCACACTTTACCCAACCACACACGACCTGCCAGTAGAGTAAATGTCCAAGTACAGTCAGTAACACGGTATAGATACAAAGGGCCGTGAAAATAATTTCAATTCAGTTTCAATAACAAAACTATGAAAACATAGAAGAATAGGTTTTACCCTTTCTGGCAATAAAACAGGTGTTAAGATGTTCAAACCACCAGATAGAACCCACTTGCAAGGAATCATCTGCATTAACCACACTACTTGTGGTGGACATGCAAACAAAACATGCTGTGATAATTATATATGACATTGTCTTTGAAACTGATTGGTCTACACCAGAGACAGCCTTCTGTATGGCCTAGTCTCACCAGTGTCAGACCAGAGACCGCCAAAAGGCGAACAGCGCAAAGACAATGCACGTGTCACTCACATCTTGGGGTGAGCAGCTATATCATGAGACTTTTTTTTTGCCAGTATCAACGTATGAAAAATAATAGGCTTTACCCTTTCTGGCAATAACACAGATGTTGTTAAGATGTTCAAACATCAAATAGAAACCTTTTGCAAGGACTCAAGTATACATTAACCATACGTACTTGGTACTGACGAAAAAAGATCCTAATAATAAAACTAAATGTCTGGTGTTAACATGGCTGAGTGGCCAAGGGTACGAACAACCACTTCTTTATAACGTGCTTCAAACTAAACTATTTTGAAACTAAACTTTTTATTTTACCAGGTAAGGCCCACTGAGCTTTATCGCTCCTTTTCAGAATCTATATAGCTATATAGCTCAACGAAGTGGCTTATCACGTTGAAATGTAAAGCAGCCAAATACTCTAAACGCATGATGTTAATTCTAAATGTGGAGGAAACAACCGGAGGTCCTGGATAAAGATCCACACGACCATGGAGAGAACATGCAAACTCCAAATGTACAGGTGTCAGGGTCAGGATTTAATCCACGACCTCCTGTATATCGGGCGAGGTAATTAACATCTTGCCACAGTACGTGAGCTAACACTAGTCCCTCACTTTAAATGTGGGATGCCACCCATGATTACACGAGGTTTTCAGGTGTGGTCTTATTTCAAGGTCTCAGCCTGACCACCAATAACGACAATCCTAAAAGCATTTTGTATACATAGTTGTCTTCACTTCATCCGGAACAGCCCTGGGGTTTGAGAAATAAAATGTATGAGATGGCTGATGTAAGGAGAACCCATCTTTACAGAGCAGAAATGAGAGCCATCAAATGTTCGGCGAGACTAAAGTGACACCAGAAATAGTTCAATGTTAACATCATCCGGTGTTGTCCCTTGTTTTGACAAAGAAAAAAAACCCATGTGATGTTATTCTCATTTTAAAAGCAAACATTTATACGAGGGAAATAAAATAATAAATGATTTAACTCCAAGGGGTGATGTTAGGTATAATGAATATAAATAACTTGAGGTGGAGTCATGAATGTTTACCCCCTTCCTATTCTCAAATGTTTGCAAAGACACATTGTAAATAAATGTATACAATTATACACACACGCATCAATTCGAGCATGGACATCTAAACAGCCACTCTATTCATTAGCTAAATGTTTGCATTTTCCTTCATTTTCAATCATTTACGGTAATTGCTTGTAATTAACTATTTCTAATCTTCACAGAAATGAACTTGCATTTTTTTAAACCATCAAAAACACTTTCAGACAGCACGATTTAACTTGACATTTGTAAACATGTAGTTATTTCTACTTTTTTTTACAACAGTGTATTCCACGAACGATAACGTATGTGCATTGAATAATATATGCATTTTTATAAATGCTACATGTAAAATAATGGATTTTCTGTAAAAAAATAAATAGCTAGGTAAATAAATAAATCAATATAATAGTAAATTAATGCACTAATCTCACAGTTGTGGGCCTGTGTTGTATTAGCTGCTGCGAGCAGTGCAGGCATATGCCGCAGTGAGACTACACGGAGCTTATTTAAAAGTCTGTCAGAAATTCAATGAATAACATTTGAAGGTGGAGGGAACATCTACTGTTGAAGGGGGCACTATTGCAAATCTGCAGCGCGCTGTGTAGTGATGCACAAAGTTCCCATAAAATATGCAACGGTGCAGAGGTCAACGCTCAAGTTTCACCACCAGCTAACACAGATGATGCGCCGATGTCCAACACACACACGATGCACCACCAGCTGTGCCAAGCTCCCCGACGTTTCCCCCGCTATGAATTCAGACGTGCGCTTACACTGCCAGAATAAAACCCAACAGCGTCTGCTCCTTCTCCACCTGCCTGTGTAGTTACGGCTGCCCGGTGGCCACCAAGAACTTCTACTGCTACACTATTGGCAGGTGGTGGTGGTGGTGACGGTAAAAGCTGCTGTTCCATGGCAGAGTCTCTGACAGCGGTAGAAGCTCTGCTGTCGGAATGGGCATCTATGGCACAGAGTCGCGCCATTTGTGTTTTCACCTACACCTGCTCGCCAACTCAAGGTACTCTTCTCCAGGCTCCCGCTAAGAAACCGGCCGAGTCGGGAGAGACGCACCCCATGGAGACATTGTCGATCGCCGATTTCCTCCCTCCCTCATATCTCTTCCAGGCAGTCGATGGGCACCAGGCCCTTCTTGCGGCCGCTCTGCACGCGCACCAAGCCCTGCGAGGGCATGCTGGCCTTCTCCACGCAGATCTGCCGGGGCCGGGAGCATGACGAGGGGGCGGGCGAGACACCGGGGGACAGCGTGAAAATGGAGAGGAGCGGGTGAGTGATGGTTGCATTAAAGATGAAAGGTGAAAGAAAGCCCAAATTTTAAAATTGCGTGTCACGTATGAATAAGTATATAAATGAAAACTGACATGTTATTCATCACATGAAAACGCAGAATAAGCACATCGCAATTAAATAACTAGAGTGAAGAAGAGAGATAGATGTGGGGAGAAAACAAATGCAGACAAATCAGCCTTGTGAACGGGCATACAAAGCAACAGATGTACACAGATATTCATTTGGAAGCTTCAGATAAGAAGAGCGAGCTCATGAAATTGCATCAGAGGGGAGCCACAAAGCTTCCATTTACAATGAAACCCAGCCGCTCTGCTCATTCCACGTTTGCACCTCTTGTGCACGCTATGTGAATGCAGAGAGACCACATCCTGAGCAATGGAGCACAGTGCATTCATTGCTTTTGGTTAAGGCACATGTGTGTCTGTGGGCATGTGTAACCATGTATGTGTATCAGGAGCAGCGGAACCGTGGTTTCTCGCACTATACCGCAATTTTGTAGCCTGCGTTCATTCCTGGCCATGCAGAAATGAAACCAGGCCCTGCCCAATTGAAATATAAACCTGGCTGTAGTCTACGCTACCTTTATTTGGCATAAAATGAGAAATCAGCACTTTTTGGATATAGGCATGGGAGCGTATGTGGGCAAATGTGTGTGGGTACTTCTGTGTGCATGTGGGCATGGGTGTGTGTAGTCGTACGTGTGAGGACATGGGTATGCAGCGCTTAGGGTCCTGTACTGTGAACCCAGAAAGCTAAATTTGATTCCGAGCCATGGCCAACATCAGCAATGAATATCTGAACCAGTTCTGGATCATTCTGACATCGACTCAGCCTTAATTGAGTACCTGGTGCAGAGTGTGTAAAAAATCAGCACCGGGGAGATGAAGGTAGCTGGGCGTGGTGCTGGCCACACCACCCCCTCATTCTCTGCCGGCCTTAATAGGCGCTTGCCAATAGCACTTGCCCCAATAGCCGGCATGGCATTATGGGGAATATTTGTGTTTGTGTGCAGACACACGTGTGCACGTGTGAGCGGGCATGACATGCACATGGGCATGGATGCACACGTGCACGAGCATGTGCGTGGATATCTTCGCAGCAGCTTTTGGCTAACCATTGAACAAAGACGATCACCGCATCGCGCGCTTTCAGATGCGCTCCTAGGGCCATCTGGAACGCTCTTCCGATAGTATGAAGCCACTGGAGCGATGCACTTTTAAATGATCGAGATTGACAAACTCATTTCTTGAGGACTGCTTTTTGTGTTCAGCTTGTCGCCCTTCCCCCCCGCACCTCCGATGAGCACGGTTGGCTGCGTACAACACACGTGGAACATAGACACGCGCACCCCGCTCTGCCCGTGCGAGCGCTACCTGCTCGAGGTTGAGCGCCAGGTGGCCGTGCTCGCGGGTGCCCGCGCACGCGCGCACGCAACGGAACACGCGCTCGCCCGGCCGCACCCGCTGCACGAAGTTGGCAGGGAAGAAGCCGACGCGGTCATCGATCCGGCCCTGGGGTTCACAGCGACAACGCAGGGTAGAGAGAGGGGGGGTGGGAGGGCGCAGAGCGATCGGTCGAGGTGCGGCATGAAGACGGGCGGACGATAACCGGCAGAGGAGATGTTCACGATTGCGTCAATTGATCAAGGTGATATCGATTCTGAGGCTCGTGATGCGTGCTTCGAGTCACCCGTGTAGGAATCGATGTTTTTTTTTAATTTGTGTGCACCGTGACCCCGGCAGCCACCGGTGACTGTTACATTTACCACGAATGAAAAAAAAGACTTGAGGTGGCTTGGGTTGGCTCAGGGGTCTGAGCAATGAGCCATCACCGCTGAGATCCTGAATTCCGAATCCTCACATCATGCCGAAAAAACAACTTGAAAAAAATTATGGCAGAAAAGAAGAGATTCCATTCTATAACCTAATTTCCAGAAAAGACTTGTGTTGAGATATTATCTTCATCATTACCATTTACATATATCTTTATATGTATATTAATATATGTAGACAAGGCTCACTGTTGTTCAAGTGTGTTAAAATAAAAACCTGAAATTGTGAAATGTACAACTGAAACTGTTGCATTGTGATAAAATAAATGATAAATAAATATGATACCACCGATGGAATTAGTTTATAACATTCAATAACAGCACGTTGTTTTATGTCTTTGTTTACAAATATACTCCATGATAAGAGTGCCTTGGATTATCTCTCTGAGCCAAAGGGATACTCAGTACATCCAATAAAAAGCAATGCAATATTTCGCAGATGTAGATCAGTCAATGTGATATTTCACATAAGAGTTTAAAATAGAGAAAGATGTCCTTTACCGACAAGAATTGATGTTTACACATCAATATGGTCATATAGTCAATACTGATACAATCCGACATGCACGCACACACGCATCACACACACACATACTCCTCTGAATCTTTTTCACTGACTGCGATCAACATGTGAGTGCTCATTTTCATAATCAAGCTTTATACAATTGTGCCTGCCTGTACGTGCCCGGCATGTGATTCCATCTACTACGTGTGCTGGTGCTAATAATAGTAGGCATGCCGCAATGCACAAATACATCGGCTGAATTAAATATTTAAACTCGTTTCTGATTTCTTTTTTTTAGCTGCTGCTGCTGTTATGATAAAACATTTATTGAAAATATTTTACCAAAAAACTTACCTTCCACCACTCTTCGTTGGAATCGTCAACAATTGATAGGATGTCTCCGGGCCTGGAAAATAGAACACAAAGATCTCCATGTAGTCAATAATAATGATTAACATTTATTTACCCAGGAAATTCACACTTGAGTCTCAAAAGTATGTTTAAAGGGGTCCGAATACGTGTTTGCAGTGGAGCCCGATGTTGCTGTGCGTTTTACAAATTGAGTAATTTGTGGAAATGCTTTTTCTCATCTGTCATGTTTATTATATTCTTTGGGTCTTTCGGTAAAGCCAAGTAGATAGAAAAATAATACAATTATCACGACGTTTCGATCACAACACATTATTTTTCTATCTACGTGGCTTTACCGAAAGACCCAAAGAATATGAATTCCTGCAGTCACGAAAGCCTTAAGTCAAGATGCTTATTATAATCAAGGGTTATACAATTGTGCCTGTAAGGTGCACAGCATGTGATCCATTGGCTACATCGCTGGCAATACTATGAGTACGTACGGAGGAGAAACCTTCAAGTCTGCGCTGCGGTGAGCCAATAGCAAACTGTGCCCACCTCTGCAGTGTTGTCAAGAGCAATTGGACAACACAGGCTTGACAGGTGCCCAATTATACGAGCAGCTGGAGACTGGGAGTCTAACTGGTAGATGTGGCCACAGACAGGGCTAGATGAACACCTCCGCACACCGCGTCATTCGTTGAGCTTTATAGCGCAGCACGCCAACCACTGCGTCACCGTCGCAATCATGAATTCAACTTGTAACGTGCGCAACATTCACTCGCCGTTGAAGAGAGGGAGCGGCTCAGCTGTGCGAGCAACCACTGAGAGGGGAGGAAGAAGGCTACGCACTTAGCTGGCGCCAACAATTGTCCAAGTTCTGCAGTTTTCAACATGTCACATTGTTATCGGACAATTAATGGGTATTTAAATGTGAGAGGAACCTGGAGCGCCCGGAGAAAATTCACGCTCGAGGGGGCAACATTCGATCCCCATACATAACATCAGCCTTAATGTGGGTTCACTAACAGAATTTCCTGTGCAAACTGCAATGAATCCTTGCGGCAGATTTTAGCTAGCCATCGAACAAAGACGGTCACTGCATTGTGCGTTTTCAGATGCGTTTCTGCGGCCGTCTGGAACGCTTTTTCTTCCGATATTAGGAAGCCACTGGAGCTATGCACTTTCAAATCTAAATTGAAAAAAACATTTCTTGAGAAATTATATTTGTGTTTAGTTTTGTTGTCCTTCCCCTGCACCTCCGATTATCAGGGTTGGCTACGTACGGTGCGACATAAGTTCAACATACACACATATGAAACAGTTACCGGATTCTGATGTTTAGAACCATGAGTCGATAATACGGTTACCAGTTTAGAGGTTGTCATTAATCAACCATACCACAAACCCAGAAAAACTCAACACATTCGCCAGTAAGACTGCCTTACAAGAACAATATGCAACAGGTGAGGTTTCGGGCAATTTACTTGCTATGAAGAAGGGCCCTTGCCCAAAAAGTTGCCTATCATAAAATCCTGGGCGGTATCGCGATGCACGTACTGGATGGCTAGGTCGCCGCTGTCTTGCGGCACGTACTGGGACAGTGCCACGTACTGGTACATCTGCTGAATGGACTCCATGTGCTTCAGCTGACCCCTCCGCACCTGCGCGCACAACGAAGGAGACGGACACAACAACAACAACAACGGCAGTCCACGTCGTCCCCTGACCACAGCAAAGTAACTCTCGAGTTGACAGCAAAGCCGCTCTATGGCTCGAGTCAACTTTGGGTCATTTCAAGCCAACTTCTTCTTTCGTACTATGGGTGAAAGCTTACAATTGCACGTCTGGGATGTTGATCCACTCAGTGGCTTCCTGAGATGATGCTAAGTGGAGAAATGAAGTGCCTCCCGAAACAGACCTCAGTTGGGGAGGTTAATGCGATATGTTCTGTGGTCTCAGACAATTGCTCATCAACCCAGTGTATCTTGGGCCTGCTTTAGATGCAAGTATCCCTGTATTTATATATTATATATAAATATAATTGGAAATATTTATTTCATAAACAATTTCAGGCCATTCTCAATCCACCTTTGGATGAAGGCCTCTCCAAGCCACGTGAGTCGTGGGGGGATGTTTTGTTCACCATACCCCATCACACTGATAAGTGGGGGTTAGCGACGGAGGGGAGGAAAGACTGGCTCTGATATCAAATGCCACTGACGGCTGAGAACTAACCTTGCCGGGTCCATTGCGCGGCCGTGCTAACCACTGCACCACCCCCTGCTGTGTTTACCAGTGCATGGAATTTTTCAAACGTGTATATTCCCATCATTGGGTTTTCGGAAAAGATCAATTACTTGGCCGACACGATCAAGCTTCCTGCATGCCGAGTGGCGACCTGGGACTTGAACTCAGGTCGTCAAAGATCTGAGCTCGGCGGCCCTGACGTGGCTCTCCGCTCCTGACAGGCACCCAGCCTCCTTTTCTGTCGTAACAGCCTTGATCTATCTCCTGTTGGATGGAGTTCTCCCAAAGCCATCGCCACCCAGCATGTTGCCCCGATGCAACGGTCTATTTAGCTCCTGCACACGAGCTGATTTTAGCGCTCCATCTCTGCAGTCAACGTCATCCCCCCAACCACCAAGGTGCGTTCGATCCTTTGGCTGCTATTCTGTTGTTAGGCAATTGTACCTTCCAGTGACGCGTTGTGTCCAAGCGCGCTTTTACTTCTAGATGTGAAGCTTTCGTGACTGCAACGATTCGTACTCTTAGTTTTTTCGGTAAAGTCACGTAGGTAAAAAATGAAATTAAAATTAATGAAAATAAAATAATAATAAATCACGACGTTTCGGAGGCAACACAAGTCTCCGTCATCAGGTGGGTCCGTCACAGACAGATTTGCTGTATCAAGTGAGGCAGGGATAAGAACTTGCATTTTGTAAACCCTGCCTCACTTGATACAGCAAATCTGGCTGTGACGGTCCCACCTGATGATGGAGACTTGTGTTGCCTCCGAAACGTCGTGATTTATTATAATTTTATTTTTATTAATTTTTATTTCATTTTTTACCTACGTGACTTTACCGAAAAAACTAAGAGTGCACACTTTTACTCACAGTCGATGTGACCTCTCTCAGTTGTGGTTGTCCTCGAATCTCTGTGGTCCCTCTTTCAATTCCCTCAGTCTAGTCGCAAGCGTGCACTTCCACGCCCTTCTTGTTTGATTTAGTTTGTGAATGTCAGGTCATTTACACGGATTAAAAACGTTCCGCTTTTGCAATGCAATTGTTTTTGACAAGTAGAGTGAAAAATAACCGCAAATTAGCCATGCCTGAAGTGTAATTGTCTACTAAGCACAAAGAGAACGCTAACGAGCCCGTTAATATTATCACTATTCCCTTTAGCGAAAAGCAAAAATAAAATTAGGCACGCAATTTGTCGTACTCACTGGAATATTTTTGTTATCGCATCGTGTCCTCTAAATCTCTCTCTCCTCATGTCTCAAGAGGCTTTCGTCTCGCTTATAAGCAGAGGAAATCTCCCGGTCGTGTCAGCCCGAGGCGCAGTTTGACTTCTATATTGGGGGGGGGGAGGGGGGCAGAGGTTTGCTTTGTTCCTGGCATTAGGAATCGCGGGTGCATATAATGCATGTATTTATTTTTTACCTTAATTGTACAGTAGAACTCCTCTTATCGACCACCCATGTTAACGATTAATTACATATAATTACTCAACGAAGGGCATCCATAGAGCCCAATGTGTTCGCTTACCGACGATTCCCCTGCTAACGACGGGCTGTTGTAGGCACAGTAAAAATATTAATTCATGCATCGATTAACCATGTATATTGTTATATTATGTGTTTATAATGTTGTTAGCATCTTTTGGTATTAATATCCATTGTTTACATATTATAAAGTACGTTGTTTCGTGTGAAAAACGGTAACTTGCGATGCAATTGGAACGAATTAAGCCTTCAGTGTGTATTTCCCAGACTCGCTTAACGCCCAAATCACTTAACGGCCGGTTCCGCAGGAACCAATTGGCATCATGATGAGCGATTCTTCTGTAACCGACTGAAAATAAATGAACGAAGGTGTCCAGTTTTGGGGGGGGGGGGCATTGCCCCCCGTGCCCCCCATGGTACTGCTCTGTCGGCCTCACCGGAGTCGGCTTCTTAGGCTTGTCGCCAGCGCCCGTGTCCTCAGAGCCCGTCCCAGCGGGAGACATTTTCTCTGTGGGGGAAAAAGACAACAACAACAACAGCAAGTTGTGACGCACTCCGTTTTTAAACAACAACAACAACAATAATGATGATGATGTTATAATCGCAATTATAATAAAATAAAGACGCAGCAGAGCTGCAAATGTCTTTCCATAAACGAGTGTCCGAGTCAAACACCCATTAAAGTTCTTCACTCACCCAGCCCCTTTTCCCCACATCACACTCTTCTGCGCCCCGGTGCTTGAGCATCAATCGGACAAACATATCTAGGAGTTACCCTTTGGTTGTTTCGCTAAAGTCACGTAGAAAGAAAATGAGTTAAATAATAGAGGACGACGTTTCGATTGCAACACAAGCAACCGTCATCAGGTAGAACTAAATTTGAGAGACAAAACACAGACACAGAGACACACAGACAGACAGAGAGAGACTCACACAGAGACACAGAGAGAGACAACACAGAGAGAGACAACATAGAGACACACAGACAGACACACAAGCAGAGAGAGACACCACAGAGACACACAGAGAGAGACACACAACATAGACACACAGAGATCCAATTCCTCTCTGTCGAGGCCTTAAATAGAGAGGAGGGGCAGAGAGAGAGGTGGGTTTGCTGGGGCAGCTTGCTGGAGCAGAGAAAATTCAAGTTTATATATTGGAGTGTTGCTCATCTACCCATTCCTGAATGTACCGTGCCCACTTTGCTAGCTCTCACGTGTGTGTGTGTGTGTGGTGCTGGCCACCCACCCCCTCGCGTACCTTTTCGGCCTTCATAGGTGCTACTCGCTAACAACACTTGCCCCAACAGTCTGCTGAAGGCTACACGGGGGATCTTTGTCTTTGTTTTGAGTATGTGGGGAGCGGCAGGGTGCTGGTTAGCGCTTTGCCGCTACAAACCTGGCAAGCGATTCCCACTCATGGCCAACATAAGCAACAGATATCTGAATCAGTTCTGGGCGCCCCCTAGGTCGACTCAGACTCAAATTAGCACCCGGTAGGGTGTGTAAACATCACCACTGGGGAGACAAAGATAGCCGGGCATGGTCAAAGTCACATCACCCCCTTGCGTACCGTATTGGCCTTTGTAGGTGCTGGTTAACAGCACTTGCCCCAACAGCCTGTGTACCTTATATGGGGGGGGGGGGATCTTTGTCTTTGTTTGAGCATGAGTGCGAGTGACTTGGTTCCATAGCGTACACGCACACCTGTACCTGGCTGGCTGTCTGCCTTGGTGGCTGGCTGAGTCCCCGGCGGGCCCTCTAAATGAGCATCTGGGTTCGTGGCTGGCTGAGTGGTTTGCTGGGCGGCTGGCTGGGTGGCTTGCTGAAAAGATGGCTGGGTGCCTTGCTGGACGCCCGGCATTCCTCCTCCCATGTCCATCTCTTCTGGCACATCCATGAGATCGGCGTCCTACAGGCGACCGGGGTGACGAGATGTAACACGGGGCAGTCGTTCAAAACTCACGCGTGTAAAACTCAACCTCCACCGTCACACTGATGTCACAATCACCACCATCCAACGTCGTCCAATTTGTCATCCAAAAAAAAAACTATTTGATCCACCGACCCTTAACCTCCGAAGTTCTGGATTGCTGGTGTACATTACCACCACACATCGCTGAATCTAAACCAACACCTCCAACCCAATGTGACAAATACAGCTGGGGAAGCTCACAATGTACCCACTGCAGACTAAATTTACATTGATGACATAATACAGCAGGCTCTTAAATAGCTTCACTCGTCCGGCAGAACCCGTGAAGTCGATGAGATTGTTTTGTTCGGTTAACAATAGACGATAAAAAACATCAACTTGGCTACTGAGACGCAGGGCTGCGAGTGCAAATGAAAAAAAAACCCAACTACATTTTCATAGCGAAGGGAAGGGGGGCGTGAAAAGTTAAAGCGTGTACAGCCAGGTGCCAGCACAAGCAGTGGGAAGACAAGCATTACGTTCCACACCCACAGTTGCAAGCGCACAAAACAATTGCGGATCCTCGTCATGATGTGCACTCGATTGCAGGGCAGTGGATCTAGCAGCCGGCAACTCCACTCATCGCGATCCGCCGGAGAGGCACACAAAATGTATTGCACGTCGCATAACCCCCGGTGAATGGTAAACGCGAAAACCTACACCACGGTGGGTTGCAATGACAGTGGTTTGAGAATCCCTGGTATAAAGGGTCAATTACTGACCCCACATAATTAACCTTCTAATTTCTATTTACCCCACAATGGTCTGTACTGAATTGCACCAAATAATCGTACGGCAGATGCAGCTATATCTGCAGTGCCGGGTTAAGCTCGTGCGGGGCCTGTAGCTATAAAGGGGCCCTAAATAAAAATAAAAAACACGTAAATATTAAAACACATACATTTTTTACTTGCATAGTAAAGTAATTGTATTTTTTCATTTGCTATACAGCCAGATAATTCGACACATCGCTAACGTTAAACACCCAGTCGTTCATAAAAGTTGAATGCAGTATAGTACTATAGTAATAGAGCAAGTGCAGAATCACTGAACCGGAATTAATAGCTTGAAAGCATTTAGCGCGGGGCCCTTGATAGTGCGGGGCCCGTAGCATATGCTACTTTTGCTACTAGTATAATGCGGCACTGGGTCTCTGACAGCAGTGGAATATTAAGAATAGCTCACAGCGCGACCGTGGCCACCGATCTCAAACCACGGGCCACTTGCCCGCTTCAATGATTCCTGGCAGCATATCGGATATTCACCACGAGGCGACTCGACACGCCGTCCCGCTGGACTCTACTCGTCAACTTCGACGTTGACACGTTTTTGTTGGGCGCTTAGTCTTGTGGTCCTTCGACCGCCCCCCCCGCACCTCCGATTAGCGCGGTTGGCTACGCACGGTGCGAAACAAGTCCAACGTACGCGCGTACATATTAACGTGGGTGTTTACATTCGAAGGAAGAGGGTGACATTTTTGGGTTATTCTTCTTCCTCCGCTGCCGGCCGGTGGCGTTGCGTACCATGCTACTGCTGTGTCGGCACGGCCCAGGCTCACCCTCGCATCCACGCCCTTTCACGCGCTGCGCCAGCGACGTGCCGAATCGCAGAGTCTCGTAGACCGGGTCCACTTTCTTCCCGCATCCTGCGTGATTGGAGGAAGCGGGGGAGGAGGAGGGGGAGGGTGGCATCAAGGGCCGATCGGAGGTTGGGTTGGGAGAGAGAAAGAGAGAGAGAGTCCCAGGGGAACGGGGTAGACGCACACACACACACACGCAAACACGCACGTGCAACTCGTGTGTACGTGCGCCCACGTGGGGGCTGGAAGGGACCCCACACAGCAACGCTCCCCCAAACCCCTTCCCTGGCTCTGACTGAGGATCTTGTGACTGTTTCCAATCAGAGCATTGGCGGGTCGACACACGTTAATGTAAATCAACTCGTTCTCATCGCGGTTTAGTGGGGTTTGTGCACCATGCCCTGTGCCAGCGTGTGCCGGCCAAAAGGAGCCGTGCCGTGCGAGTTGGCTGACCAACAGCGGATGAGGCTGTCTGCATCAACGCGCTGCCTTCGAGCAGTGGGAAGACAGAGACGGCGTTCGCGATTCCGTGGCATGTAAACTCAGTTGCCGGTGACGAGGAGCCCAGCTTTAGACCACTTCTGTGTACAAAGATAGGTTTGATGTCTCGGAGCAAAGGAGACATGCCTGACGGTGCTGATTATGTTATTAGATTTTAATGAAGTGTCTTTTATGGTGAAATGTAAGTATAACATGGGTAATGAGGCTTAATATGCATAATGTATTAGATACTCATGTAATTTGATCTGGCACGTCAGAATAAGTCGTGTAATATTGTTAATTTGCGTTTCCTGCTAACACGTGTCGAGGAAATATGAACCAAACGGATATCGAAATATAGGGCGCATTATTGTTTTGTGATTGTCAGAGGTGGCACCGTAAATCTACCTTCCAGGGAAAGTGGCCTAAAACGAGGAACTCCTTGAAACCTTGTTTAAAGGCACGCTTTGGCTCCACGTTTCCACGGCGTTCCGGCACCGTGTGCATGATCACCGTTCGCTGGATACACTCTACGGAAGCGAAGGTGGATTTTGTTTATCGAACGCAGTACGAGCTTCGTAAACTTGTCAGGCTTTATACCAAGTGGTAGGCTCGTGTTTAGCTCAGCATGCTTGTCCACTACCGTATAAAATAGCGATGGTATCAATTAATCAAATTGCAACCCAGCTCAGTCACACTGGGGATGCTATTGAAGCAAATAGTCTGCTGTGAAAAGCAGAGCACTGTCCGTTAACGCCGCTGCCAACGTGTTCAAATCATCAATCAGGGCGAAATTCAAAATTTTCAACGACGAATGATTGCTTTTATTCCCTGGGTAGTGAACCTCCGTGGTCAGCAACGCAGGTAGTGTTCTTACCTTACATGACAAAACACGGTATTTAGCATTATTGTGATGATGACGATGGTAATGGTGATGACGATGACGAACTCCAACAGTCTGTACAAAGAGTCGCAGCCCCCTTGTTGTAGGCCATCTCATCGCCTCGCGTGTGTGTGTTACTACCTCGAGGACATAATTGATCTCCGGTTCATCTACTAACCCGCCAAATCCAGAGCACTGGATCATAGACAGAGGCGCCACCATACCCAGCCGAAATGAAGAGAGGCCACAGTGTGGGATGGGCCACCGTGAGAGAGGCAGCACTGCAGACCACCAACATCGAATCACGAGACCCCCGTCTCGTCAGAGAACACCAATTGTGCTGCGTGGCATGGCAAAGGTACACAGGTGACAACACAGCTACTGCTGGACTTTGGGGAGAACAAGAACAACAGTAATTGGCACGTGTGATCCTCCGTGGCAGACGGTGGCATTATGATCAGCCCTGGCGTGGAGCAAATGGAGCAGCAGACGGGATAGCTGCCTTTTCCCATGACGCAACAATGGCGTGGAGTCGCTCTCCATCACACTCCCAATTATTTTTTATGCCTATACGGAAACGGATTTAGACCACGCGTGCATATTTTGGCACCCACTTGTGGATGATTCGAGCGGCGTTGGATTCACAAGTGCTTTATTTGCATACTTGCACGCACGTGCTCACACGCGGAGAATACATTTTTATTTATATATAGCAGAATGTTTTTTTTAACATGTCACGATTATTATAAATCACAATTTACTTCTCAAATTCGTAGTGACATCGATTACAAACACGGTGCTGTGTCATCTGGAACTTTCTGCAGACTCGAATGTTCGCCATCGCAAATGGACGGAATTCAGTCCGCATCTTCGCACATATTCCGTGTGCAAGGCGAAACAGAATGTGCCTGCTGTGATACTGGTTGGCGATAATGGTGGTGGTGGTGATGATTAGTAATGATAGTGGTGGTGGTGGCCATGGCGGTAGTGATACTTGATGATGACATGGTGGTGGTGGCGGTGATGGTAGTGATGATAGCATGCAGCATCACTTTCAACTCCTCTGTGACAAGGACCGAATTTCATATCTAATGGGCACCTTTAATAGGGTCGCACGCTTTACTTGAAGCAACCACTTAACAGGCAGCTCTTTCAAATACTTTCTCATGCAATCACCAGCTTTGCAGCTAAACGTAAACAATCAGAATGCCGCCACCACAACCCCCTTTGACCGGCGGCTACGTGCCGTCTCTGCAAGCAGCCACAAGACCTCTCCACAAAAAATGTAACTAACAAAAACGCATAGAACGCTCTCTCTCTCTCTGGCACACAATATTTGAACGTTTCCGCATTCGTACGACGGTGCACAGACGATGTTAAACACGTGGGCATTGCGATGGTGCGTACACTCTGGAGCAGTGCGTCGGCGAAACCGAGTTTATTGTTTTAAACGAGGCAAGACTGGAAACAGAGCACTCGATCCCCATTGCCGTCAGCGGTGGCCGGCTGGCATTGCTGCGCGGTCGCGGACTTTGCGGTGAGAAAAGCCAGGAAATGCCTCTCAGCGACTTGCACTCTGTGTGCCTCATTGAGGAAGCACATCAGCAGGCGCGGCGGGTTTTGTGGCAAGACCACGGATGGGCACCCTGCTACCGTATGGGTTTGTGCGTATGCCACGGGAGAGAGGTGCATTAAAGCCTCTGGATACCGGACACCACTCTTTCAGTATCTATGGCTTGAAACTGTTTTCCAGGACACAATGAGATAACGAAAAACCGGGGGTTGCAGGCAACTTGAGTGGATCAAAATGAGTTTTGGTTTCAGTGATGACACCAAAAGCACTCGGTGTTGTTCTGTTAGTGCTGGCGAAAGAAAAAAATGGCATGGATAGCAGTGTGAACAATGCCACCTTGCAAGGTTTTATAAACTCAGAGGTGAAACTGTGCCAGCAGCTGTAGAAAAACTTTACGTCACCGCTTTTTTTAGTTTTTACTTTCCATTATTCCAAAATGTGTAAACACAGCGCAAGACAGCACGGAGACTTAAAACGTTGCAAGCCATTGCTACACCTCAGTGGAGACCTGCAACTTGAGCTTCAAGCCAGAAAGTGGCTCCTTTGTCCCGTTGCTTAATTTATGCGGGTCAACAAACGGACACATACGGGGGGGGGGGGGGGGGTGAAATAGATTTGCGAGTTTCACGCTTGGTCCCACCCTTGGTCGAGTGTCCAATCAATCTTCCAGTCCCCCCCCCCCAAATGAGTTCCACCGGCCCGGTGTTTGTCTGATCGTTGAGGTCCGTCCCCTGCTCTTTTGAGTCACCCCAAGGTCCGCCACCACGCATGCGGTAGAGAGAGAGAGGGAGAGGAAGACGGCGCGGGTTCACCTGAGTGGCCGTCCCCACGCCTAGCCGAGCTGCAGACACAAGGTTTCTCATTTCGCTTACGGTCTTCTTCTAGAGGCAGGGTTCACATAGCGGCGTGCGCGGGAGCGAGGGGGGAAACAAGACGACCTTTACTGCAAGCGAAAAAAAACACGCGCTAACGCAACGCGCAGGCCTGTCCCGTGCACAGCTTTGGGACTTCCAGTGACGCCTCACTCTCTTTGCGAAGTGTTCAAGACTGTCACGCACGCAACGCAACGCAGGCACGCGTCCGCGTCTCAAGTGTGTGCGTCAACACAAAGGTGCTTGTGTTGACGTTCTGGGTCTCGGCACACGTGGCGTAGCTGCGCCGTGGCCCAACACGCACTAATGCGATACGTGTGATGTGTTTGGATCATGTTTCTTCAACCGCTCATCTGAAATGGGGGTGGGGAACGTGCAGGAAGGAAACACGTGAGGGTCAGGAGCACTTGGAGACAGACTTGCCAATTCCAATCGTGTCAAATGGATGCTTTCAGGGATCACTGTGGAGTACCGTCAGAGGCTCTTAAATCAGGCTTGGCTTAAAGCCACCACACGTCCACCTGACCGGTCGTCGCCCCTTGCTCACACGCCAGACTCAAACAAGGAAAGGGTTTCCCTGAGGACGCTCGAGTCAAAGCCACTCTCCACTCCGCGCAGCCGATTGCTGCATCCTCGCACACTCACGTGTGCACGCGCTGGTCGTGACACTTCTGAAAATGAACACAGGTTCTCACTGATAAGTGACATTGGAGCTGGCCTGATGGTTTTAAGAAATGATGGTGGTGGGGGGGGGGAAGCTCAGCTGAAATTGAGAAGATATCATGCAATCAGCAATCGGATTTTGGTGAATTACTCAGCATTGCCACACCAATTATCCTTGGCCCGACTTCTCAAATGCACTGCCAGTCTCAAGCCGCGCATGGTTTCGCTTCTGCCAATTTTGTGTTTTTGTTTTTTAATTGTCTCTGTGTTTTCTTGTTTCGGCAGCGCCAGACACAATCTTGAAATCACGATTTAACCATTTTATATTCTCTGAGTAAAACCTCAAATTGAATGATAAATTTACCCAGACTCTCTCTCAGGAGGGCCCTGCTAATTTCCGCAGTTACGGGGGAGGCGATGTTGATTGCCGCGTGTTTTCTGAATTTATGACTTTGTGGGTCATTTTTCAAATTTGGCAAAGTCACTAAGCACAGATTGGGTACCGTCCTCATGCATTGACAACTGGATCAAGATCTGTTAATCAGAGGGAAATTGCAAAGGACTTAGAGGGACTTAAGACGCTTGCTAATCTTTTTGCCAATAGACAGTATGCCAATATGTACGCAAACATCAAGATGGAGTAACCACCATGTTGATTTTTCACAATAATCAATCGAATAACTACCGGCCATCAACATGACAGCTTGTGGTATTACCTCTGTGCATCCAAAATCGTAACCACATCCCCGCCATGTGGCAGAATGCCACCGAGGCGAGCCCTGACAGAACAGATTAATCCCCGAGTGTTCACCGTACGTTTGAAAACTGCAAAAAATCCATCCGCCTCCGTAAAATGTCACTTTTTTAAAGAATAAACTTTGATCCTTTTCCATTAGCATCGCAGTCCTGTAAACCAAAGGGACCGGACAATAAAGGCGAGGAGAAAAAAACGAGTTTACAGCTCAGGATGAGAAAATCGAGGAGCAATTTAAAGCACATTCCCCCGCCCCTCCCCCCCCCTCCAAAAATCGTAGACCCTGAATAATAGTGAAGCAAAGCAGTTGGAAGCAGAATTACAGACCATCGGCATTTACATTCGTAGCATGTGGCTGCATGGAAATAAAATGTGGGGCCTGTACATCACAAGACTTCAAACATGAGGTTTGTGCAACAGGAGGTTAAGATTGACATTGTTGTAAGCAGATATATGTGCGTGGCAGCCTCTGTGTGTTTATGTGTGTAGGGGGAAAAATGAATGTTGCACGGTGCTACAATCCAGTTAGGGCCATATTTGATTTCTGATCAAGTACATTTGAATCAAGCTAGCCTGGCCCTCTCCTAGGTCAACTCAGCATGTCATACATTGAATGTGTGAATCTCAACAGTGGAGATGCGGCTCAGGCTAGCGGTCAGACCATGCTTGGCCTTAATAACAGCCACTTGTCCCGACCACACACAAGGCTAAACGGGCATCCGTGTTTGTGCGCGCAGCGTGCGAATGTTCCCTTAACGGATGCTGGAAAACAAAACAATACAAGCGTGAGAAATAGATGAAACCCAGTGCTAACGGGTGGCAAAGTGGCGGGGAAAGAGCGAAAGTCAGAGCGGAGGGCAGAGGCTGGGCTTACCGAGCGGGATGACCTCCATGATGCAGGAGAACTGCTCGTTGATGAGCAGCGGGGAGCTGTAGTGACGGCGGAATCCCTTCGGCTGAAAGCGAACGGCCGTTCACAGAAAACGCCGTTAGCAGCACGAACGCACCGCGCGCTCCTCTGCCCAGTGGGAACCTCGTTCCGCTTTCCCCGGGTGGCATTGTGCAGGGAGGACTGCTCCTCAGCTTGGGAGGAACCTGTGGTGGCGCGTTGCTACCGAGCAGAGTAACATAGGGTCTACACCATTGGAACCTCATTTGCCTGTTAAAAATATGATAATTGTTTTTTTTACCCTTCTATCTGGCAACAAAACTGACACCTCTAAGGAAAGCTGTCTCGGGTGTGGACCAATCAACTTCAAGGACAGTGCATATATTATCAGAGTTATGTTTTTTGTTTGCATTATGGCTGCAGGTATTGTGGTCTATGCAAACATGACTCCTTGTAAAAAGGTGTCAGTTTTGTTACCAGATAGAAGGGTAAAAAAACAATTATCATATTTTTTACTAGGTAAATGAGGTTCCAATGGTGTAAATGCTTACCCCGAGCTCTCATACTCTAATGGTGCATTGTCTTTGATTTGTGCGCCTTTTGGCGTCATCTGGTCCAACCCATGTGAGACTAGGCTCTAAGGAAAGCTGTCTCTGGTGTGGACTAATCAACTTCAAGGACAGTGCATATATTATCAGAGTTATGTTTTTTGTTTGCATTATGGCTGCAGGTATTGTGGTCTATGCAAACATGACTCCTTGTAAAAAGGTGTCAGTTTAGTTGCCAGATAGAAGGGTAAAAAACCAATTATAATATAGGGTCGTTAATCTCTGCGATTCGGTATAACAATCGGATCGTTCTCTGTGGCTTCGTGCCATTAGGGTGGTTTTCCGTGGCTCAGCAGCATGAACATCATCTGCTGTGGTTATGTATCATTAGGATCGTTCCGAGGCTCGGTAGGATTGAGATAATTATCTGTGACCGAGTCTCATTAGGATATTTCTCCGTGACTTAGCATCGTGAGCATCGTTCTCTGGCTCGGTATCATCATGATGGTTCTCTGTGGACCGGTTGCCATTGAGGATCATTCTCTATGGCTCGTCGCACAAGTGTGAATGGTGCTTTGACTCAATAACCTTTCTATCGTAGTGATCCATGCTATAATAATGCCACACTTCACGGATGACCATGGGGACCTTGGCAGTGGCTCTCACGGAGGCTCCACAATCTCCTAGAGTGCTCCAGTGATTGCATGTCTGCATTGTCCTGCGTAGCTTTCATTACAGGCAACACTGTGGAATTGGACATGGTCAATTTGGCAGCATTTGCAATTAATAAAAAAAACGCAATAATTTATTTTCGGCAAATTAAGAGAAAATTTGCAAATAAATGATTCCGTGGAAGCAGATGGCCTTGAGGGAATAAAGCAATAAATGTGACCGATGATGTGGGCAGATGTGTAAATGTGTTCGTGGCTTTATGCGTATGCACGCTTTCCTGTCTGTTACACATTTGTTTAATATGTGCTGTTTTCGCTGGACTATTTATTCCTAGAGGGTATTTTTGGTGCATGCACCGTCCCGTCATCGTGAATATACGCTTATGTATACGTGGATATGTTTGTGTATCTACTGCACAAAATCATTCATATGCTGGTATTTGTGTTCACTGCACACACGCAAAGAGTGTGTACAAATCTTAACCAGTGAGTTGAGCATGTAACACGTGCGAACACGTGTGCTTGTATTTATTTGTATCTGTGAATGTGGGTGCACGCTTATGCGAGTATGCTCACACTTGCACGTGACCCAAGTTCAATTCCCGGCCGCAGCCAGCCTCCCTGTCAATGACCTGAATTGGGTATTCGGCCTCTCCTAGATCAACTCAGTCTTCAAGGAGTACCTGATGCGATGTGTAAAATTCCACACTGAAGAGACAAAGACGTCCGGGCATAGTGCTCATCATACCACCCCCTCAAGTCCCCTGATGGCTTTAATAGGTGCTCGCTAACAGCACTCGTCCCAACAGTCTGTATGGCTACAGCGGTATGTACGTACGTACGTTGACCTTCTTTCGCACCGTACGTAGCCAACCACGCAAATCGGAGGTGCGCGGATCTTTATCTCAGTGTACACGTGCGCGCAGACTCGCTTACCATCTTGCCCATGCAGCGCTGCATCTCGACACCCCCAAGACAGCGGTGGTGCAGGCTCAGCTTGCACGCCTTGCAGCGCAGGCCGTGCTTGCTGCTGCTCCCCGTGTCTTCGTGGGGAGGGTTTGGGGGAAGAGGAGGAGGAGGAGATAGAGGGGGTGCAGAGAGGGCATTTGGGGATGGGATGGGCGGAGAGAGAGAGAAAGAGATTCGACGCAGGGAGCAGCAGTGAGCGCATATTCACCCCCCGCTCCTTCTCTCCATCACCGTTGCATTTCAGATTAGTATGGTCCCGTGCACAAGTGGGTCAAACAAACAAGTCCTGGGAAGGGTCGAGCGAAGAGAATGGTGCCTGCATGCTCACATGCCCTTTTCAAGGGTGTTACTTTTACAGCTGCTCCCCCCTTCTCGGCTCATGACGTTAAGCCAGTTCCTGGCATGTCCCTCTACATGCTTTGCCTAGCCATGTCGTGCACCTCAGTTCCACCCTGTCCTGTTCAACATTGCCCTTACTTTGTGCTGCCAGGCTCTGCCAATCCTGATAACGACTCCGCCTTGTTAGGGTTCAACACAAGCAACGTCTGGACCAGTTTTGACATTCATTGTCTCATTAGCTGAGTCAGACTTACTTAAACCTAATGCTGGTGAAATGGCCAATGTTTAAAGGCAAAAAGGACCCTTTCTCTAAGAAATGGGTTCAAGTTCGACAGAAACTGATGTTATTGTACGTAGCACACAATAATCACTGAGTGTCACTGTGGAGAATATAAGTAACACAACAAATAAGCGCATATTATTCCCCCTTCCCATATTAATTTCTTCCCACACAACATGTGTTGATGTGTATACAAACAAAATTCTCCTGATGACCATTTTTGAATGCAAATATTTTGTAAAGTGAGGCGTACCATATTTTCAAAAACCCGTTCAAGATGACCTTCTCTTTGTGGAAAAGCTAGCTTTTGTTAAATCAGAATCTCATAAAAAATTGTTCTTAAAAGCGTGGCGAGGTAATATCAGCCATGGTCATTCCACTGTTAGATCAAGGCTTCCCAAAGCCACCGCCACCTCTCATGATCCTTTTATTGTACTAACCCACCTCGCACCAGGACATTTATTATCAGTCCATATGAACAGATATTATAAATTCTGAACACATGAATGAAAATATGACCTAAAAATATGTCAGTACGCAAAATGCGATGAGTCTAGCTGGATTTTCTGGATGATAAATGGCGATTAAAAAATTACAACTTTTGTCGCTAGTTGAATTGTAAAGGTCATGGGAACAATTTTTCAAGGGTCATATCTCTTTTTTAGCCAGATATTTCTGCCCGTAACTGTAATTTCAACTGTAATATTGTATACTTAATTCATCTTTATTAATATTTAATACACAAGTGTACATTTTAAAAATATATATCTGCGATGGTCACGTGTGGACCACGTGTCCAGTTGATACAGAACCATGTTCATGTTTGTTTCCAGCTCCTCCAATTTCTTTCCCAACGTCTGTCTCCCTCCGAATACTACTGGACGGCTTATCCTTCTAGACTAGTTAAGGCCGTTGCATTATTTAACCAAAACAGTCACTTGGCGGCGCAGGAAAACACACTTCAATACGATACGACGAGACAAACATCTTTGGCTCGTGCACGCTACACACGCACACCCGTGGACACACGTGTGCATGTACACCAACACAAATCCTGTGGCTAGCCTGCCTCGGCACATGCTAGTTTTGAACACCTATTACATCTGCTCCAAACTAGCAATATGGTCACTAACAAAAAATGTGTAACACAGACACCCACCAAAATAGACACCTTGTTTAAAATGTCACCTGCCACACTGACAAGTCAAAGGCAATGTGAACACAATGGTCAGCAGCCGTCGACTTCTCAGTGCAGATGGTGACACACCAAACCAGGCACCCTATAGAGGCTGCGTAAACCTATAGACCGCAGGCAGGTACAGACAGCATCATACCAAATTGGAATAACCATGACTCACATTAAACAAAACAAAGGCGGTTTAACATGTTCCTGGCCTGGTGGATTATGGTGAGAAGTCGTGTGAGCAAGCACCCATCATGACCTACACAATCCACCGGATGTGGGTGCAGTTCAAGCTGCCACCAGGACACCACAGGTGTTAACTATCTCGCCTGGTATACAGGAGGTCGTGGGTTCGATCCAGACCTTGACGCCTGCTGTATATTTAGAGTTTGCGTGTTATCTCAGCGGTGGCGTGGATTTTTCTCCAGGTCCTCCGGTTTTTCCCTCCACATTTAGAATCAACATCACGCGTTTAGAGTAATTTAGCTGCTTTACATTTCCACGTGATGAACCAATTTGTTGAGCTATGATTTTTAGCCAGGTCGCTTCTTAAAAGGAGCCATTTAGTTCAATGGTAAAATGTAAAGTTTATTTTAGGTACTCAACATATGGGACACACAAGGCAGGACTAGACACTGACAGCCACCCTTGCGGTTGTGGCCACAGTGGTAGGGAGCGATGCAGACACGGACTAAGATCCCACCAATATCCAACTGGACTGTTGGAGGAAGTGCTGTTAGTACACAGCTACGAGGGTGTCCTTTCAAGCGGCATGGGACAGACAAGATAACCCAGCCGTCTTGTATCTCCCGAGTGGGAATGTTTACACATTACACGAGGTACTTATTTGAGGCTGAGTCGACCTAGGGAATGGCTAGGACCAGTGTTGGTCACGAGCGGGAGTTGAACTCGGGTCGCCGGGGTTTGTCGCGCAGCGCGCTGACCGCTACACCGGCACTCCGCCCACTCGCTCGAGCAAAACAAAGACCCCCCTCTGTTTTCCTCCTGATGACGATCGAAACGTCGTCGTTTTTTTGTTTCTTTTTATTAATTTGAACCTATCTACGTGACTTTACCGAAAGACCCAAAGAATAGGAATTCCTGCAGTCACGAAAGCTGTAAGTCAAGATCCCCCGTATAGCCTTTAACAGGCGTTTTGGGGTCCACGTGCTGTTGTTAGCGAGCACCACCAATTAATGCCGGGGTGGGTGGCCAAACACCACGCCTCCCCGGTAGTGCATACGGGTACTCATTTGAGGCTGAGTCGACCAAGAGAGAGTCCCAGGAACAGACACAGATTCATCGTCACCGGCGTTGACCGTGTCGAACTCACGCACCCACAATCATGTGGTTGCAGATGTCACAGAAGGTGGGCTTCTTGAAGACGTGCTCCTGGAAGTCGTGCTGTCGCTCGCCGGGGAAGAGACGCAGCGGGGACGGCGGCGGATGAGCTGCGGCCACGTTGGTGGTGGCGGAGGACGAGGAGGAGGAGGACGAGGAGGAGGAGAGGAGTGCCCGGGAGGACCGCGCCTCGCCCAGGAGGCACTCGCGCGACGCCGGGGGGAGTTGCGGCGGTGGCGGCGGTGGTGGCGACGAGGGGCTACCGCGGAGGGCGGCGTTCGGGATGAGGGCCGGAGTGAGGATGAGGTTGCCCTCTCCCCGCGAGTCCCGGTCGGAACGCTCGAAGACGTTGTCTGCACTGCGGCTGCGCAGAGACTTGGTCTTGAATGACAGCGAGCGCTTCAGCCTCTGCAGCTGTGCACACGTTGGGGTTGGTGGGTCAGAGTTCACGAGGGTTGGGATTGGGGTTTCCCTGTTAATTTTGCGTCGTTCGAAGTGTGATCGGGAGTGTGAAGCGTGATCGCATTCAAATGGATGCAGGCGGGCGACTCAGGATTGTGGGGGCTTGGAATGGGCATTCATATTAGGGGTAGAGGATGGGTACAGAAAAAATACATGGATACATAGGTAACATCATTGTTTTGGTTCACATTCATCAATTTATTGACATTGCTACTAATCCCTCCGACAACATCGGTGCATCAATGTTTTGCTGTCGATGTTGTGTTTTTCACGGCGTATAAAACGCTGCCCTTTAAAAAAGAAAACACGCTCTTTGATGGAGAGAAAAAAACTGGTCCAAATATTTTTGGCAGGTGCACGCATTGTAGATAGGGTTAAAGTTAATATTCTGGTAATTATACGTAAGTTTGTTCATGGTTGAGTGTTCATTCCGGAACAACAGCATTTTGTATGTTTAAGTAGAATATTACCAAACCATTACATTTTTCGACATATTTTGGAAAGCAGACTTCAACGACAGCAGAGTGCGACTGGTTTTTTTTCTATAACATGATTCATAAATCCATTATTATGATGTATCCTGCAAAGCAGCGCAAATTTGTGTCGAGGGGTAATCCAGCCAGAGCAGTCAGCTATTTCATTTATATATTTATTTTATATTTCATACTTATTCATACATTTTTTTTCTTCTATAACCAAGATTACACTTTAATGCTTGCATTGTTCTCCTTGCTAAATAGTCAATTAAAAAAAGTCAATAAAATAAAACATCACACGTAAAAACACTTAGTCGACTCTTCGATATGTCGATGATTTTAATTCAATGCCCCATCCCTGGTCACGATTCACTGCCAGGAATCGTTTTAATTCCAGACCATTGAACCTTTTTGTGTTTCAATCTCATTATAACCATCTCGTTTGTATCGTCCGATTTTTTCCCGGCTCATTTTGTACGATCTTTGTTAGCTCCATGAGCTGGAGTGTATCGTCAGTGTACCTTCTGCGTCAAATTCATGTAAAGCGAACCGCCATTCTTACGCGCGTGATTCGAGCGAAGAAAAATCCTGAGCCTTTAGACGTCGATTTTGTTTCTCTCGGCAGATCCCATGCGTCATCGTGTCGGCGTTAAGTGCAGAGAGGGTCCCCGTGAACGAACACACGCAAACATACCTTGCATTCTCGAATTCAGGAAGGTCGAAATGATTATTCATATAAGGATTGTCACGTGAACAATATTAACAAGACTACCTTCATTGCTGTTTCATTAGGTCGTCTTAATGCCATCTGCCAATTTCCCCCCTTTTGACGAAGATTAACCCCCCCCCCCCCCCCCCCACCTAATCGTGTATGCCTGTACGTATTAAGGGAGAAGAGATCAAATGGGCATGCAGAGGTGTGGGGCTGTCGTTAATACTCTGGTCTCCCTGGGGGCACACATCCATCGTGCCCCCCCCCTTCATAGACAGCGAGATAACATGAATGTAGAGTTAGTCAGCAGATATTTGGCGCAAAACAGTTTTTCCTTAAGTTACGGAGCCCTTAAGTTATTTGGGACCCTGCGCTTTGGCTTATTCTGCTCATGCAGTGCATGACCACTGAGTGCCGTGGAGACGGAGCGATGAATTCAGCTCATGCGCAGAAGCGCGATGGATTGTGGCATCGCAGGAGTGTGGGGAGGAGGCCTTCATCCAGCAGTGAATAGAACACGCCTGATGATGATGATGATGGGAATTTACTGCGATTGTTCCAGGTTGTAGCTTGGCTTCATCACATGGATAGGATAACATAAGTGGGATGTAATTGGTAATGAAATAGGCAACTCTTTTTTAAAAATTGCATTGATTTTAAATACCCCCATATTTCACTTTCATGTGCAAATCATTTTCTCGTCGTCATGGACACAGGTTATTGTGTGCACACCGCTAAACATGACATGAACTGGCAATAAATCTACTTGTACTCAGAGCCACGTTTCAATCCACAAATCCTACTCTTCCTAAAAGCACTGGACCGAAATTTATGAGCAACAGCTCTAACTATAAAGGTCTCGGGGTCTATTTATAAGTGAAACGACAGTGCACGTCTTGCCGCTTTTTGACATGACCTTGCCGTTCAAATTATTTAAAAATATTCCCCTTTTATTTTTCTAGAAGCCATGCCCAATAGTGAATGTGAAATTACGATTTGGCATTTTTGTCGAATGCCATTTTTTTTGTACGTGTGGCAAATTTATTTAATTAGAGGCAATTATTTGCATCCGGACTCACGTGACGAAATGTACGAGATGGTGGGAGAGAGTGAGAGAGAGAGAGAGAGGGGAGTTCTCAATTTAACCTTAAAACACTCTGAGGGCACCGAAATACATTGATGTCTGAAAGGCTTGTCAATGCCTCTGAACACAAACGCTTAACACAGAGCATCAGTGGGGGCTACGCGAGGCCGCAGACTAAAAAGGTAGCCAACCTTTAATGGGTCAGCCCGTAAACCGTCTCACCGCAATTGGACATTTAGACTCAAAAGCACAGGCGGCAACATTCTTGGCCACCGTTGACATTCAAGATGATAGTAATACTAATGTACACGCTCTTGGTCAATCCACCTCGACACAGGAGGGGGACTTCAGGCTGCTGGATGAATATGCAGCCGTCGGTATTTTTGGGGATTCTTGCGAGGACACCGGCATGCAACACGATGTTGAGCTCTGCGGGTCATTACAATGTGTACACTTGGCGTGATTACTCACTCGGTGGGGCAATTCAAGGGCGCTGCTTGGCATTGCGTGACACATTTACCCATGGAGCAATGGGGATACTGCATTCATTCCATTTCTAAGCAGTTGGGCACTGTGACAGAAATCTATATCAATATTACAAAGAATATTTATTTCTAGTGTTGCATAAAAATGTCGTCTTGTATTTTGCAATGGGCCTATTTGGAACCATTCAGCTTTACAGTGGAAATGTGTCTTATATAAATACAAATACTCTCATGCTTTGTCATCAGGACAAAAACCTCAATTTATTCCATGTATCCTATGCGTGCCGCACTGTCAGGGGCAGCTGTCACAATACCCTCCTGCAAAAAGGTCTTGCCGATCTCAGACACATTCATCGAATTCACAAGCGGATGCCACATTTTATTTATTTATTACATTTTACGTGTATCTTCTTTCTTTGCCATTCCGTGTCTCGGCCAAAATGAAAGGAAGCGTTTTCTCTGCCAGTTTTGCCCCCTATTCCAGTTAATGAGCCTGATGTTGTTAAAACCAATTAATCTCTCAAGGACATGAGGGCAGCTCACACCACCCAGCTGGAAAACGCTCCAGTCTGGACATGACAGGAGATCTCCCGATGAACTTTGCTCATGGCGATTTGATACCAGCCCTCTGGTGAGTCTTCTCTTTTAGCCTCTAGGCAAATCACTTTTCATTTGCTGCTACTTTTTACACTCTCGAAGTTCACTTTTTTTAGGCTCTTGCAGCTTTCTACTTGAATGGTTATCAACTTGAGGATTATTTTTTTCAGCAATGATTTGTGCCGTGCCTAAGAACCATCCAAATGTCCAAAATGTCCTTCGTATCATCATGAACACATCGAGAAGTCTCACAACTTTTTTTCTTTGAACGTTTGGACAATTGCCTTTTTGAGTATATTTATTTGTGGAAGGGCAAACAGACTGCCGAGAGAAAGGCCATGCTTATGAGAAGACATCAAGCACCATTGCGATCGCTCCAGGCACAACCAGCTTCAGGTGGGATGTGTTGTTGCAGTGCACGTGCAATCATCGTTCTGGCCTGCAATGCTAAATGTCAGTGGTTGGTTGTATTCGAAATATTCTCAAGTGATATTTCTCCTTTAGTGTGCAATGTAAGTCAGTGTGAACCAAAGGCAGATTTCACCCAAGGAATGTTATGCATCTTGGTCCCAGGACTGGCGGGTTTCTGCTGGTGGTGCCGTTTACATCGACAACATGAGCCGCAGAGGATCATGCCGTCTCCACCCATCACAAGCAGATCAACAAAACGCTGTAGGTTGCACCTTGTGCAAGACGCTCTAGGGCATTGTGAGCCTTTCGGCTGATATCAGCTGCCTATTTGAGAACCAATTCGAGGAACCCTCATGACAGTTCCTTGAAAAAGGGCAGGACAATCAATGGCAACGTGCTTCAGCTTGGACATGTCACAGTGCTATGAAGAAGGATCATTGCCCGAATCGTTGCTTGTTTGCATATGTTTCCTTTGAAGGCCGCGGGGTTTTTTTTTTTGCTCCAGCAGGACATGGTTAGACAATAACTAGAGGCTCGTGCCTCTTCATGCCCGAGGAAATTGTAAAACTGTGTCATCTGCCCATCTCTTTTGAAATGATTTAAACTGTGACCGAGTGGCTCTGGCTTCCAGCACCATTGAGAAAATAGATTTGAACCTCATTTAGAAATGTCTTGAGTATCTCATGTATAACTATAATGGCCGCTCCTCATCCATACAAAACTATTTTACGAGTCATACAAGATCCATTAAGGGGTGAACGTGCGATTTTCATATGCATGCTGTATACCACTGTTGCAGTAAAACTAAATGACCGTGATTAAAACATTGCTGGAATACCTGAGCATCTGTTGCATGGAAATGTGCTGCTGCTGCTGCTGCTGTACGGATATGCGGGCAGTGGTGTTACCGTAGAGGCTGTGGGAACTGCTACTACCTGACCAGTGGGAACATTGCTCCATTTAGAAGTGTTCAGTAAATCGCAACCCTATAATAGGGCTTATGTGGGTCGAGGGGGTGGCAGATGATGGCAATGGCTAAGTGGAAAGGTGTGTATCTGGGGGGGAGGGGTAATGGTAATCTTATATCTGGACATGTATTCTGGGCATCGCTCTGGCAGACGCGGAGCCCAAATTGCGAGCCATGCCTTCGGGTTCGTTTTACGCACTCGGGCGACAACACAGCCCCT